AGAAGAAGAAAGAAGAGGAAAAAAAGAGTAATCTGATACAATTTGATGAACTTGACCTACACCTATGGATGCAGTAGCTCAAAAGAGGGAACAGTGAGGATCATTCCCACTCCCTCAATACACAGGGTAGACAGGGATGGGCAACTTGGGCACTGACTACCCAAAACGGGGAGCTACAAAGGCAAGAAGTGACTGGCTTACAAGCTTTCAAGAGGGAGCCTAGATCCAGAGAGTGAAGAGGAAGGTAGAATCTCCACTGAGTAGTACCCAATCTGTCTAGGCAGGGCTGCTGAAAGGAGATATGGATAGGTCTCTTGTGATACAATAGTGACTAATTGCTATCAGGACTGACTGTGAGGGTTGGAAATGTGAAGGTAGATGTTTGTAGCAAAAGGAAGGTAGTGGTTGATTTGGCGGAGGTCCCTGGGACCATCAAGGGAGAACAGTGGAATGTGAGACCCTACCCAGAGAAGCAGTAACGCCAGAGATGGAGGCAGAGATGATGACGTGGAGAGATGGGGTGGCTGGGGACTCTAGACCCAGAGAGGGAGAGGGGCTGTGTGCTGACGACCAGGGTGCAGGCTTTTAGGGTATACCCTCTGGTTGTTTGATGATGCATAGAGGGGATTGTAATCATGGCAATGAAATGATATATGATAGGATGAATGTAAAGCTAAAGTTCTCCCGTGTAAACTATCACATAATTCACAATAAAACATTAAAAAAAGAAAGAGTAGGCAAAGGTCCAAGTATAAGGACATTCATATTTGCAATAGCATTAAGTGAGAAATACGATAAATACCCATTTATTAAGTAAGGGCACATTAATAGAAAGGAATGATATGTAGCAATTTAAAAAGTGGAGGTAGCTCAATGTAGACCAGAAAAGAAATATGTGTAGTATGATACCAATTATAAAAAGAAGATACTTATATTAGCATACATAACTCTAGTAGTATGTACAAATCCTAACTGTTGGCAATCTTTGGGAGTGAAATTATAAAGGACAGTTGGGGGTGAGACCTTTTACTTTCTATAGTTTAAAACTTTGTATCTTAAAAATATTTTCACTTTTAATAATTAGAAAACTCACAAAGATATGTTCAGTTGCAAAATAAAAAAAAAAGGAAATAATCTAACGATTCGTTGGAATATTAGAAAAGACTTCTCAGTCCTTACGAGTGACTCTTCATACATCATAGGAAGACATTCTGTAGACCAATATTATACACTTCCAATTACATGTGGAAAAACAGCTCCAAGGCCAAACACTTGCCACTGGGTTAACAGGTAAGATGTTGTACAGTGAAAAGACTAAATAAAAAGAAGTAAATAAACTAACAATACTTAGGAAATTAAAGGAATTACTTAGTGAAAATTATAATTTCTTACCTTTGCACATTCCACTTAGATCAGGATGGAGACTGGGCTCATATCTAACGGATACGTCTTGATCAACGAACAACCTTTCAAATACCAAAACAGAAAGAACAGATTATAATCATGACTATTTTTTAACAAGATTGTCATTTTAACCATTATTTTTTAATTATATCTTGTCATGGATTGAAATGTGCCCAACCTCAAAATATGGGCCAACTCAACAAAACAATGATGATGTAATGATCTCTCATGATGTGCTACACCAATCCATTGCAAAAGGATTAAATGTGGGATAGATACAAAATCCTTAATCCCATCACAGTACCTTTCATCTTACAAGAGACAAAAGGAGAGAGCAGAGAGTAGACAGAGAAAGAGGGGCCAATCACATTAATGCTGGAAGCCACAGGTATTTCAAATAACAACAGGGTCACTGGTAGTGGACAATTTTCAGAGCTTCCAGATTAAGACAAGCTAGGTAGAAAGCCAAGGAGCTCTGGAAGCGTAGTGGTTACGAATTGGGCTTTGAGCCGCAAGGTCAGCAGTTTGAAACTACCAGCTGTTCTGTGGGAGAAAGATAAGGCTTTCTGCTCCCATAAAGATTCACAGCTTCGGAAACCCTGTACAGGGTCACTATGAGTCGGAACCGACTCCATGGCACATTACCACCAGCAACACCACCAGGTAGAAGGCCTGGCAACCTACTTCTGAAATCAACCAGTGAGAACTTTGTCTGACCTGCTTGTTTTGGACATGTCATTGTGACTACTTCATTATGGATGAAATATTCTAATAATAAAATATAACCGGAGGGACCCTACCCAGAGAAACAGTGATGCCTGAGATGGAGACAGAGACAATGACAAGTAGCGATGGAGCAGCTGGGGGCTTTAGATCCAGAGAGGGAGAGCAGCTGAAGACCTGGGGGGTACGGAGGGGGGGAGCAGGATTGCAGGGTATACCCTTTGGTTGGTTGATGATGCATGGAGGGGACTGTATCCAGGGCAATGAGACTATATATGATAGAATGAATGTAAAATTAATGTTCTCCCATGTAAACTATCATAATTCACAATAAAACACTAATATATCCGGAATACTTGAAATATTGGCATTAACTATGGATATTGTTGCTGTGGTTAAGTGCTGCCGAGTGGGTTCCGACTCATAGCAATCCTCTATAGGGTTTCCAAAGCTGTCAGTCTTTGTGAAAGCAGAAAGTCTCATCTTTCTCCCACAATTTACTATAGTAGAGAGAGGGTGAACAACTGACTGAGTTAAAGAAAAAACCTCAGGCAAAATCACATTGAAGATTTCAAACAATTTTCACAGCTTTGTTAAAAGCCAGGTGTTTCAATGAAATTTCTAATGACAATTAGAGTTTTAGTCTTATGGTATCAAAATTACCAAAGCACAGAGTCCTGATGCCATGCTAGGCTTTTGATTCTTAAAATTTTTAATTATATCCTTCCTTTCAGTATGGTGGTTGGTGGTAGTTGTGTGCCATCGAGTCAGTTCTGACTCATAGTGACCCTGTATAGGATTTCTGAGGCTGTGAATCTTTGCAGGAGCAGAAAGTCTCATCTTTCTCCCATGATTTACTATAATAGTTATTGTTGTTGTTAAGTCAATTCCAACTCATAGCGACCCTGTATGGGATTTCCAAGGAACAGCTGGTGGGTTTGAACTGTAGATTGTGTGGTCAGCAATCCAGTGCTGATCCTACAGCACCACACCAGGATTTCTACTATAGTAGAGAAGGGGGGCATAGCTGATTGAGTTAAAGGAAAAAACTCTGGAAAAATCAGACTGAATATTTTAAACAATTTTCATGGCTTTATTAAAAGCCAAGGTCTCAATGAAATTTGTAATGACAATTCTGATTTCAGTTTTACATATTATCAAAATTTCCAAAGCTCAGAGTCCTAATGCCAAGCTAAGCATTTCATTCTTAAAAAAAATATCTACTCATATTATTTAAGTGTAAGAGATCTGAAAATAGTACTTGGTACCATTCAGTGGAATATCTTCTATTTTAACTGGTCCAACCAATAATCTAATTTATTATGATTAAGTCCTTGTCTCCTTGTACTTTGTTTTCCTTTCTACCTCCCCTCACGTGTACTTTAATATCCTTTGTAACAGGTATTTTCTATCTAGACAATTCACATGAAGACAAGGTTAGTCTGTCTTGAGGGATACAATGAATATCCATTTTGCAAGCTAATTATGTTGAATTAGTCTTTTACTGTATGTGATTATAAGGTTCACAAGATATAATTTTATCTGAACATACATACAAATCCATATAATAAGCTGTCTCATATTGTAATTCAATTTAAATATATGTGGTGCTGTAGGATTATGCACTGGACCACAAGGTTGGTTTGCACCACAAGGTCAGCAGTTCAAACTCACCAGCTGCTCCTTGGAAGCCCTATACAGGGTTGCTGTGAGTCGGAGCTGATTCGATTAACTTGGGGTACCGCTCTTAATGTTTTAAACAGTCAACATTTTAAGAAGATGAGACCAAAAATACAGATTGATAAAAAAAATTCCTAGGCACATATAAAACAAACAGAATCTTACCTTTTAGAATGGAAATCTCAAACAAAAACCTCTTAGTCAGCAACTTGAATTTTTACAAAAGGTTATTAGCAACACCTAAGAGCCACAACAAAGGTTGGATGCATCCTAGAACAAGGTTGCGAGAAACAGAGCTAGGACCAAGACCAGGCTCTCAAAGACACAGTTAACACCTGGCATTCTGTCTCTTTGAAAGCATTACCTTTCAGGTACCAAAGGTCAGTAAACCCCTTTCTTAGTTTAGCAAAAAGACATTGGTAAGCTGTAATATTTGAAAATCATTACTTAGCTATGCAAAACTATATAATGCTTGGTCTACTGAAGATCTATGCTACACCAATGCCAGAGCCCATGCTTCTCATTCCAAAATTGCGAGGTTGTGCATGAGAATTTACCAGTATGAACCACAAACAATTAAGCAGAGAAGATGAAGAAGAAAGACAAAGCACAGAATTCAGTCCTCCTACCCCTGGCTTACTGCTTATACTCTAACTAAATTACCATGCCAATCAAAAGAAGAGAAGCTAATTTTTAATCTTGGGCTATGAGGTATTAAATGAAGCTATTTCCATGGTATTGCAGAAAATTAAAAATGAATCATAAGCAAAAAAAAAAAAAAAAAAGGTTGGCCACTCAAGACAAAATGCTATCTACAGCCTACTTCTCTACTCACTACAACTGAAAATTGCACACAATATATGAGATATGAGAACTCTAAAAAGCAAACAAGAACAAGTGGATTGGGGACCCAAGTAAAATCTAGCTATCTGTAAAAGGGCCAAGTTTCACCATTGGTTTTTGTTTGTTTGGAGTTTTGTTTCCCCCCTTTGGTCTTTTTTGTTTCTAGGCTTAGTTCCGAGGGTAGGCCAATTCCCAGAACTGTGCAGTGAGCAGGAACAGCAAAAACTCCAGAAAAAAATTTCTCTGTCTACCCAGAAGACTAAGGGAAAAAATCCCTCATGCTGGAGGGCATAGAGGGTTTTCTTTAAAAAAAAAAAAAATTCTCTTTCCTTTTATCTCTCTGATAGCACAGTAGGTTAAGTACTGGGCTACTAACCACAAGATCAGTGGCTCAAATCCACCAGCTGCTCCAAGGGAGAAAGATGAGACTGTCTGATGCCCGTAAAGATTAACAATATGTAAAGCCTTTGAGAGCAGTTCAACTCTGTCCTATGAGTCACTATGAGTTGGAATTGACTCGATGGCAATGGGTTTTTGTTTGTTTTGTTTTTTAAGTAAAACTTTTATTGTGAATTGAATGATAGTTTACTTGGCAGAACATTGATTTTGCACTCAACAGATTGTATTTTGTTTTACAATGATTACAATCCCCTCTGTGCACCACCGGTTAACAGTATTTGCCTCTATGTCCGTTTTGTTTTTGTTCTGGGTGTACACAAAAACACACAGTAATATATAAACGTTTAAACAGCCAAAGGACACATTTTGCAAGCTAGCCTCCTGCCTGCCAGCACACAGCCTTTCTTTTTCCATGAGTCCTCAGCTGCTCTATCTCTCCATGCGGTCACCTCACTGGTGTCACTGCTTCTCTGGTTAGGATCCCACGTTCCACTCATGCTCTTCCCTCTTGATGGTCCTTGGGTTCTCTGTTCCTGGAATGGAAGACTAACTAACTGCTCCCCCCTTTTTGTTACATAACTTCTACTTTTACAGTTGTGACAACTGCAGTTAGTCATGATAACAAGTAATCACTATTGAATCAAAAGAATCCTAGCCCAATCTCCTTTAACAGGATTCATCTAGACAAGATGAAAATGAATCAGTGGGGATTCTACCTTGCCCCCTCGCTCTGAAACTGAACTCCCTGTTGAAAACGTGTATGCCAGCCACTTCACGCCTTTATAGCCCCCTCCCCCCAGCCCCTGCCCCATTTCAGGTAGCCGCAATGGGTTTTTTTAATCTCCCAGGTCTGTCTGAAAGTCAAACCCAGTATCAGATGTGCACTGCCACCATCTGTGGCTGCACAGACACATAAGATACAAGAGAAAACCTGTCTCTTTAGTCAGAGAAACTGGGAAAAGGGGCCTATCTAGTCTGAAGAAGGTGGGGAGAATCCCTGTATTTATCTTTAATTGACTCCACGAAACATAACAACATCAACAAACAACAATCGCTTTTCTTAGAACTTTGCCCTGAAGGTGGCGCCAGGAACAACAAGGAACTGTTCAACAATGGGGAAGGTTAACACTCTGAGAGAAACCCATCTTCTTGGTTAGATGCATCAGCCAGTGCATGCATGGGGTAGTTAGTGGTGGCAGGTGTCATCTTAGAAAGGAAACAACTAGAAGAAAAAGAGAATCACCTAATTCTGTATATGATCTAACATAAGTCTCAGGTTCAA